CAGGGACTTTTATTTTTAAGTGTCTTAATTTGTGGGTTATTGTAAGATTGAAAAAATAAGTGGTCGTACATAAGTGGAAGCAAAGCGTTAGGCATTTCTTTACACGACATATACGTACACATACATTTGCGAACATTTATGACAAAGAAGTGAGCGTGCTCATTCATAATATGATATACCGAAAATAAGTTATTTTATTTTATTGGTAAATAAAAGGATAAAGGCAAAGGTAAAAATAAAAACAAAAACAAAGAAGTGTAAGGATAAATGCAAAAATTAAGGTAAATTTAAAAATTTTACTAATATAAGGGCGTTCGTGGGTAACCGCGCTCTAACACTTAGTTTTCCTCTTCCAGCGATAAGGGTCCATGTCCAAAAGCAACGGAAAAAATATATGCAAATATCCCTTTCCCAATGAGAGGAGCAAATATCCACAAAAATAAACCACCTGTTCTGTTTTGTGGGTTATTTAGGGGAAGGTAGGTGGGGGGGTGAGCTCACTGATAAACAAAAAATTTTCAGGTAAAAGTGTCACCGTTTTTGAAATATTTACATTTTTTCGAATTTAAAAAAAATCGTGCAAATTAGGACTATTTCTCGATTTTTAACTTTCTGATATTTTCTTCCCCAACTTTGACTATCTCGGGTGAAAAGAAAATGTACTGAGCTATAACTTTACATTACATAAAAAATTTAATAAAGATTTCAGAAAGGTGCCACACTTACTGTTTTGAATAGAAAAAAAAGTTTTAGCCGCTTTTGTGGGTAAAGGACTGAGACACGCTAGAATGTATTTAATAGATTTAAATTGAATTTGCTCTTGTTACTGTCAAATGACATGCTAAATAGTACAAAGGTACATAATTACTTGCTTCTGACATTATTTTATGTTACTTACCGGAATTCGAACTAGAGTCTATAACAAGGGCTATATCTATCAATATTTTGTGTGAAGGATGGGTTCACGTGAAATAAGATATACATGAGTTTGTTGAAGAAAAATTTATTCATTTATTGATAAAATATGCTCAAATTGGCGACCTTCTACTCTAATACAAGCTCGGCACCTTTTAAGAAAAGACGCTTTTAGAGATCTTAAACTCAATTGGGCTTTCTCAGCAGCAGCTCCATTTATTTGTTCCTGCAAATGCTCTTGGTTTTGAATTGTTTTTGAATAAATTTTGTCCTTAAGACAGCCCCAGTAAATTTATTTTTAAACGCTACTGAGGATACGTCAAACTACCCTGAATGTATTTGTTACATATATTCACAGATACTAACACATGGAAACCCTACGCATGCGCAAAACGGACATACATAAGTTGGCTATAGCTTTTTTTAATGTTAGTCCTCAACATTCACAATCGGCACATTCGCATTCAGAGAGTTCGCATTCGCAGTTGCGAACGTTAAATACATATATGAAATCCGAAACATCGCGAACATCCATAAATATATATATACACTGGCCAAAAGTTATTGTTTGATTTTTCTTTTTTATGGCAAATACACCGATTGTAAGAAATTTGATTCAAGTTGAACATTTGAAAACATATTTGTACATATGTCTGGCCGTAGCTAAACGAGCAGAGATGCTTGTTGTTATTTGTTGGCTTCCAGCGGGTTCGAGTTCGAATGCCGTCAGAGGCCACATGTAACTTTTTGTTTTTTGCTAAATTTCAGAAGGCCGCGTTCAAATTCCGTTAGGTACAACTTGTTAAAATGGTAATAAAAATATTTTTTGTATCTCCGATTTATGAAAAAGAATATGTGAAGTGCAGAATATAAGCGTATTCAAACGAAAATTTCGGAAACCAAAAATGTGTTTACTGCAAGCAAAAGTGTGGTTAATATTACAAAAGATTTGGAGTTGTTAGTATTAAACAAGAATCACTTTGATTCCTTTTCAAGTCTGAATTTGCTAATATAAACCAATTTTGGTTGATTTTTTTCTCAGTGCGTGTTCATCGAAATTCGCCCGGAAGAAAATGCAAATTCAACATTAATTTTGATTCTTCTTTTTCCTTTATGGTATCAAAAACAAAAACTTTGCAATGTTAATATCCGCTTCCATTAAATTTAACTTCCTGCCTGCATTTTAAAGGATCAACGGGATATGCTGGTAGCACCAGAGCATAAAACAACCTAAAAGGAGTACTTGCAACTGTGTGTGTAGGAGTTCATACAATAAACAACAAGTATACTAAAAAACATGGATGCTCATAATTTTTTCGCGAATCTCTTCGATTTGGCTTTCCATTTTAGTTTGTGGCGAAAAAAAAACAAATAAAAGCACACATAAATAAAACTGAAGACTCACTACCAACGGCTTCCCTCGTGCCTTGCCCAGCTGTTTGCGTTCGCATGACTGTCTCTAACTAACAGTCATCGCACTAAGCTGCTGTTTGAGCGCATCGAAAGCGTATTTCGCGAATATTTACATAGCCTTATTTAGTGTCGAATATCGAATGGGAAAGAGCGGACCTACCTGGCCGTCTCCACAGGATAAAATTTATTGCTGTCCAGCTGTCATTTTGGTCGCTAGATATAAGTTATATCAGTGGCAATAGTTGTGTGGGCTTTTTATATCTTGATATAAGCATTTGTAAGATAGCTTCAAAAACGTATTTTTGCCAGATTTAATCGCTTAAAAAATTTAGAAAATAGGCTATTTTACATCCAAATACATAATTACAAATATTTTAACATGAAACAGCTTAATTTTTGCTTCTATATTAAATTAATAATGATGTTGCAGCCACGAAGTTTTCGTGCAAATGAAAATGTAGCTGTCAAACTACCAAATTGCCGGCAATAGATGGCAAGATATAAGCTCTGATATATATTGCTCTCGAAGAGCAATGAGCGGTCTCCATTGGCAAATTATATTCTGACATATGTATCAAGATATAAACTTTATCCTGTGGAGACGGGCAGTACATTATATACTTATATGTATATGGATATTCTCAACTGTAAAAGCAAAGCCTGTGGTAGTGAAGATGGCTGTACAAAATATTATAGCGCCGAGTACGCATTGAGCAGGCAGCGAGTGAATGATCCGCAGATGGAAAACAAATCCAAGCGCATAGGCGAATTTGGCTCAAGGGATATGCAATGAATGCGAAATGTGGCGTTTAGGCCCTGATAGTGTATGGGTATGCTTGGGAGTGGATTTCAGTGAACCAAACAGAAATATATGTAAATACAAGTTTATATATTTGCAAGTGTGAGTTGAGACGCAAGTGTTTCGAATGTTTTTCTTATGTTTATTTTCGCAATGGATCGTTATTTTCTGTTCGATTTGTGATGATATTAGCGCACACTTGTCG